GCACTTTCAAAGACATAATGATTATTTTGAAAAGACTAAAAATTTTTCAGCGTGAACTGTTTTAAAATAAGGCTTTTGTGTTAAGATTAGCACATCTGCCAAATGTGCCAGATTTGACCTTGAAGCACTAAGATAGCCCCACATCTAACCAACATCAATATTGGGATGAAGGGAAGTAAACTGTTTTCAGACTCACACTGAATACTTATAGGAGCAGCTGTAGAAATTCCAGAGGTTGGACTCGGAACTAAGTTGTTTATTGGATGTCTATGCATCCCAGTTTGGAGTTTATGTGGAAATTATCAGATGGTGAATGCCTATTTCAGAAGTGTGGAAACGAAAACCCCAAGTTTGTAAATATGTTTTCACAAATTGTGAAATGGATGCAGGCTGCTCACTCAAGAGATCTTCATGCCACCTCCACATCCAGAGATACAGAAGACAGCCAAGGGGTAAATATGAAGATTGTGTGTGAATGGGTTTTAGTCAAAGTCTTCTCCTGAATTGCTCTTTTAAATTTCCTTATGACTGTATGCTTAGTCTGCAAGCGCGAGGGAGTGATGGGTCCTCCAAAATTCAGCCATCTCTATCCAGGGATGCACCATGAGCCACCCCCTCGCCACAACTAACTTATCAAAGGGTAGTTTTCAGGCATATAGAGAACTGTATGGTTTTTTCCCCCTACAAGATTGAAGCCTGCTTAATAAGATTAAAATGCAAAATAGAGAGGAATTCATGGACCAGATGCATCCTTACGGAACTGAACATGAAGTCAGTCAGCCGGTCAAGGTGAAACTCATTCTCCCCTGTCTCCTCCAGGTAGATATTCACCTGGAGAATAGAACAGCAGTCAGCTGCTAAAGATTACTTGCATCATCTAGTGGGCATTTCTGACTCTGCACCATCTACACTGGCAAGATTATTGAGTCAGTAACGGTCTGAAGAGATGTCACAGGCATATACATCCACACTTCAGGAGAACCGATTGAAGACATAGACAACCTGCTTGCTTTTCCCAGGGGGGATTTTATAGTCAAATATTCATATTATCATATCACGAGACTAGGTAAGAAATATTCAAAAACGGGAAAGAGAATGCTTTTTAAAATGGCAAATTTTAGGCTTGCCTTCTGTATGTTTCTAGATATTTCTATGTAAGAAATTGCATCTCTCTCTCCATCAAAGCAGTTTCTCTGACTGCAGACCTTGTCCCCAAAAGTTTTCATCTATCTTTCTGATATGTTAAATTTCTTGCTTATCAACAACTTTTATAAAATACATAGGTAGGATTGTTTACAAACACAATATGGCAAATCAAAGCGTGTGTTAATCCTGCTGTCACACTGTAGGAAGTGCAGGACATTAGGTAGGCCACATCCCTTTTAGAAAAGGCAAAATGTAAATATTTAGCCAGTTTGGTGTAAAGGCACCAGGCTAGAAACCAGGAGACTTGTGAGTTCTAGTCCCACCTTAGAAAGACAGCTGAATGAGTTTGAGTCAATCATTCTCATTCAGCCCTAGGGAGCAGAGAATGGCAAACCATATTGCCCCCAACAATCTGGGTTCTCATTTTATTAACCTCAAAAGGATAGAAGGCTGAGTCAACTATGAGCGGGTAAGAATCGAACTGCTGGCAGTTGGCAGAATTAGCTTGCAATACTGCATTCTAACCACTGCACCACCACAGCTCAATAAAAACAAAAAACTGAGGGAACCTGGTAGAACAGCCTGCTTTTTCAGAAGTCAATGCCATAAAGTTTAAATAGGGCTACTCTGTAAGAATATGGAATATTGTAGTCAAAAGTGTATTATATACATACCATTTCTATGAAGTATTTACCCTCTTTCAGTTCTGAATGACAGCATTTCTTTGACACCAAATGCTATCAAACTTCATATAGGATATAAAGGGAGTCCAAAAGAACAAACACTATCCAATTTTCATCCTTGTTTCATTTATTCCATTAAAAAAATAAAGTACACAATATGCTTGGGTGAGAAAGTAATCATCCTGTTAAATTTAGTAAATGTCTGTGCTCTTTCAACTATAATAACTGAAACAAATGCTGTTATTAGTGACCCGTGACTCACATCATGGACAAACACCGTCAGTTCAGAAATATATTTAGGATTTTCTTAGCATGGAACAGTTCATGTCAGGCTCGGCTACATCTTTTCTATTGGTTGAGATATGAACTCACCTGTGGAAAACACTGAAACCTATTGACTTGCTTTCATGTTTGGAATCATTATTTTTCTGCATGTCCCAGCTGAACATCAGCTTCAGCTGACAGGAAGATGGATCGATTATTTCTGTAGATTTTTGTTATAAAGCAATATTTAAACTTCCTTAAGGGGTAGATAGTCATTTGGGTCCTGCAGTACCACAGAATTCCCAAACAACAATACTGCCTCCATGTTTGATAGTTGGTATAAGGTTCTTATTATGAGTTTCTGCCAGCCCAAACAGCGTAGCCTGAAAAGTTTCATTTCTGGCTCATCTGCCAATAAAATATTCCTCCAGAAATCTGCAGGGTCTGACTGCATAGATGGAACCATTAGAAATAGTTTTGTGATCTCCAGATTGATGGGCATCAATTACATTTCAATGAGGTCTTCAGAAGTATCTTTTGGACGGCCAATGGGTGTCTGTAAAATCTGTGGTGACACCAGTGACGAGGGGACCCTATGTGAGATTCATACCACACATAGACCTAATCATTTAATGAAATAGCCACATAACCATCCCTACACGTAGCACTCTTGTTGTATCTTGTAGAGAATCACCACTTCTGAAGCATGTTGAGAATAAATCGATTCAGACACTTTTCCCATATCACATTTATTACTGATACAAATAAAAAATCTTTAAAAGACTGTTACCTTATTACCAAGATTGAGGTAATATGTTTAGAAAACATTTACAGAAATCAATATGAAGTTGAGGAATAGAGAGAAGGTGGGAGAAAGTCGCTAAATTAAGTTAATAGAAGGGAGGTTTATGAGTTCTGGCAGAACAGAGACAGAATACTAGTAAGATCACACACTAAGGAGAAGAGCAAAGGGTTAGTTGGGCCACAGCTGGGATGTCATGCTTTTTATCAGGGCTAGCAACTCCTCCACTCCAAGTTTTTGTGCTTTGAGCTCTGAAATGCACTTTCCTCCCAAAGTCTAGTGTATTGCCCTCCAAGGGACATTGCTGAGCAAACAGACATCTTAAGATAGGAAACGGTGTTCCAATGGTTAAACATTCTGCAAAATCAGACATCCCTAGGCTGGTAGTAGCTGTTTAATGAAACATTTTCTTTACAGCTGCCAGCAAAATTGCCATGGGGGGGCGGGGGGGAGGAAACTATCTTTTACAGAACCCCTGTTTTGGAGAGGGAAGACTGTACCATTTTGCAACCGGGCATGGGGGACAATAATTACAAGATGATGAACATGGCACAATGTTTCTGTAGGCTGGGTACCATGTTCATGATTACATATCAACAATTAAAAACTGCTACAGAAGATACTAGCGCTCTTAGAAACTATCACAAAAAAGCAGCAGCTGGATGAAATACAGCATGGGTGGATCTGTGGAACAAATCTATACTCCTTCAACTCCATTTAACAAGTATTTAGAAAGATCATCTAGATTTAATATTTTAAACACCCACGGGTTTTAGTTTTATAATTCATATGACAAGTCCTTTGAATTAGCACATAAACACTCTTGACCTTAAAACAAATTCCTTTACCTTTCTAATTAATAAATTAGCAAGTTGCATTCATCATTACTTTCCTTTCTCCAAAATAGAGTGTACGTTAACCTCCTAGAAGATATGTAAGCATAGAGTCTTCTCCAAACAAGGGTATAATTATATACACCGGAGGTGTGTGTGGTGTCTAGAGCTTTAAATGGGAATGAATGAATCCAACAGATACTATTTCAGCAGCTATTGTCAGCTACATGAACAGATTTGCAATCCTTGTTGTATCAGCAAGACTAGTCTGGCAGCTGGCTGTTTTAGCTCCCAAGGCTTCGGAAAAGCATGCTTCAAATACTAATGAAGCAAGTGCTGGAGAGTTTAAGCAACCTTTAGCAAATTTACTATTATAGAAACATGTGGACGTCTGCAATGAATTATTGCCACAGCAGGCTGTGCTCTGGTTAAGAGGGTAAACATCCCGTCTGTACTGCAGTAGCGCATGAGATTGCTCTTGGCATGCACAGGGCAGATCAGGGAAGTGGAGAAGGGCACAGGAAGGAAAGGACTGACGCAGCCACTTCTCCAGGAAGGTCTTGGCAGAAAAGATGCCACTCTTCAAAAGGTACTTGTCGAAGGCGAAAAGAAGCAAACGAGGTACAATCATGTGCACCTCCGGGAGAAACAAACCTGAGGACTCAAAGGAGGGCCAGCCTTCGGGTTGAGTTGAGGGGAGCCTGCTCTGCCCTCTTCCTTCCCACCTTCGATGCTCAGAAGTGTACGTTCTAGCTTAATGCCTTTCAATGCCCAAAAAAAGGAGTCTGCCCTTAATCATATGAGCTAGCAGAATGAACTCGGGTTAAAAGAGCTGTCTGACAGGATGAACTGCTCGCCTCCATCTGTCAGGGCAGCAACTCTCGCTGAGAAAAGGTAGGGAAAAGGGTTCAGCCAGTTCACCAGCTGGCTTTCCACAAAATGTCAGGTACCCAGGTATTGCACTCCTTAGGCCTTAATGCTGGGCTGTAACAGACTCAGGAGAGCAGGAGCAGAAGGGGCGGGGGGGGGAGTGTACTTCAACTTTGAGAAAGTCTCACTGGCAAAAGCTTTAGGACAGACTTCTAATGCATTACAAATATATCAACAGGAAGTTAAATAAATTCTCAGCCATACAACCATTGATTGAGTCTTCCTTTGCAAAACAGCCCTTACATTTCCAAGTAAGGATTTGTGCAAGCGTTATGTATAAAAAACTATGGCTATTAAGATTGGACACACTCTTTCGGCTCCAATTCAAAACGAAACCAGAATATTTAAATGCACGCAGCTACTTTTACTATCTGTAAAAAGACCTTCCATTTGTGTGTCTGTTTTTGCAACGGTCACTGATGATTATGCTGTATTGCAGGTGGCTGCCGTAGACGAGGGTCCCGCCGTCTCATCAACTGGCTTAATGTAGGCAGCGGCACTACCTGGATATCATGGAGCTGGACTGGGATTGGCCGGAGGAAGTTGTAGCAGCACTGAGCTGAGAAAATCCACTGTGACTTGATTCAAGGCTGCTCATGGATCCCCTGTGGAAAGATGGACTTACGGTAAGGATAAGACACCTTCACATGCTGAGCTGTATGAAAAAAACTGTACACCGGGGGGAGGGGGAAGGAGGAAGAGAGATCCCAAATGGAACTGGCAGCGTCTACTGATAGCCTTCGCCAGAGGCTCAATGTATAGTCCTGATCATGGAGTCTTTTCATTAGCTTTAGCTTCTACAGCTCCCTGGCCAACCTATATGGAACTATATGGCATACAGCAGGTGGAGAAGGGCTGGTTTATATAGTCGGTAAGCCAAGGAACCAGAACGAACCATCCATGTATATGCCAGCTTTCTAACTTCCCAAAACAACTCCCAACTATTAAAATAAACAGTAAGCTTCAAAGATGCTTAAGCCATCTTTAAAAAAAAAAAAAAAGAATAAACGGTACTAGTTTGCCATATATCTTTATAGCTAGCACCACTTAAAAAACAACTATCCCATAATACCTTGTTTATGTACCTACAGTAAAAAAATAAATTGTTCTTCAGGACTTAATTGAAAGTCTGCAGTGATGGAGACTGACCCCCCCCCCCTTACTAACATTGAAGAAAGGAGTACTTCTTACCTTCCAATTCCAATTTCTTATTCAATAAACTAAAAAAAAACAAGTTCTCTCTAACAAATAAACATGTAGTATGTGGAATCCAGAAAATTCCTTAAATTGATTCCGATTACAAATGATTAATCTGAGTCCTTTAAGGAATCTTCAAGATTTTATATACTAAAAAACGTTCACATGTGCAATTGCCACTTATAACCAAAAACCAAACTGATTTGAAGAGACAAAATGCCAACACCCGCACTCGTAGTGAACAGCATCAAAAACAGATCTGTCATAAATTCATTTACAAAAGTATTTGGCTTGCTGTTTTCTTTCTCTTCAAACCAGTAAGCAAAAGTTGCCATTGTTTGACGTAACCTGCTAGTGTAAGAAAAAAAATTCTGTAACCACACAGACCATGACTGTTAAAAAAGATCAGTAAAGCTACTTAACTAGTCCATGGTTACTGCAGTTTTTGAGACCTGCACTTACGTTTTAATGATAACAATTTGCCCCTTACCTCTGGTCTAAAAGATGATCTAACTTTTTTCCTCTGTCTCTATTTATCAAACCAATGTTTGTTAATATTAGTCAAGTGTACTTATTGTTTAAAGACCAATGGATATATTAGCTACCCCTAGCGATTATCAATTTTCCTATAGGACAAAAACAGTTAAAATCATTTTCCAACTTTGTATAAAATGCTATTTTTTTGTGTGTGAAATCAGTCAACCAAGGCAAGAAAAGTTTAAGGTTTTGTTAACTGGACACCAATATAATATATGCATTTTTGCTATGGAGCCCAGCAAGTAATGTGAAGAATAGAGATAAGAGAAAGCAGTAAGACAGAGGAACCATAAACATCAGATGAATTACTTTTAACCAAAAGTGTTGTCTAAAGCTCACAGGCGTAGTACTTTTAAGTATCATCTTGATGACTCTAAAAGTCTCTAGGAAAACCAAGTCATGAAAATGCTGCTGTTCCTGTACTATTCTGGGTAGCCTTCAACTACTTGCACTTAGGCTTAGTGAATCCTAAGAAATTTTCTCATTATTTTTTTTAAAGACTAGCATTTGCAACATTACAGTGAACCTTACCTGAAATCTTCTGACCCAATTACTTCTGTGTAGTACATCACTTTGCACTTGTGAGATGAGACCTGTAGCGATGCCAGTACATCATCAACACGAGGCAGACTGGTGGTAGCGCAGGCAGGCATACTGTGGAACCTCCACTGGAGAATGTAGAAGCCAGGCCATCTAGTCACATGAGATCCCTTAAAGCAAGAGTGGAGGAAATCAAAATAGCTTGAAATGGCCATCGGTGCTAATAACCGACCATTTGGATATAATATTAGGGCACTTCATCAATCAGCAGTTGTAGGTTGGCTCTCCCTTTCATGCTCAGCCTACTTGACCTATTCAGAGAGGCTGGTAGGCAAGAACGCAAGAAACATAGTTCCATTAAACACGATTCGGTTTTCTTGAGTTTATGGTTATTGATCATCACGGCTTACCACAGATATAGATATGAAAAATAAGGGTTAATTGACAAGTACGGCATACATAATACCTAGTACCAGATCTTGACTTAGTGGTACGTCTCAGTGTTTAGACCAGTTACAAAGTTGTAACAAATTATGTAGCCTACCATCCTGCAGATGGACTTACGCATAGTTTTGAACATACAAACTTGTTACTATTGTAGAATTTGTATATCGCCCTTTTAAAACACAGAGATGTACTTTTTAGAGATTCTGAAAGTTGGAGATCTCCCCTAAAAAGCAGCTATTTCCTAGAATAAGGTTGCAAAATTTTAAGGAGGGATAGAAACCCAAGAGATCACCAACTAAATCAGTCAAAGATTGAAAGGTACATCCCCCGGTAGAGCTTCCTCACTGACGTACAATTGATCTCAGAAGTACATGACTGATTAAAATATCACTTTCCCCTTGCCCTGAAGGAGCAGTTACTTTAAGGTTTAGTTGGTTGAATTGGCATCCCATTTTATAGGACTTTGAAATGAGTAATTGGCCAAGTGTTCTGGTGTGAAGCAGAAGGCAAAATAGGTTTAGTGGGTGAAACTAAACTCAAACTATTTCAGAAGGACTTAAAGATCTCTTCCCCTCCTATAGCCATTATTAAGGCAGCCCATTTTGGAAATGAAAACACATGAAGCCCTCACTTTCTAAGGATGATACATTAGGAATTCTATTAAGACTTGCTAATGGCATAATCACAAAGAAGCAACACAAGAAGGCTGTTGTGAGTATTCAAAACATGCTTGAATTAAAAAGTCCATTCTGATAAAATTCTAAAAGCATTTTGCTAGGAATCAAAAGTAGGGGTTGTGTTTAAAAAAACGTGTTCTCACCTGCACACTTTCGCCTTCCTTGCAGATGAGTGGTGATTCCACCATACTGTAGTCTCGTCCCAGTTGCCAAGCTTTCTCTATCAACTGTACGTTATTGCCACCAGGAGAGGTAATGCTATGCGCCCCTACCAAAGAGTCTTTTTTTGGAGGCTGAGGGGCTCTCTTGGAGTGATAGATGTTGAAAACAATATCACCTTTACAAACATCAAAATCCCAGGTGATCACAGAAGCAGCTTCCACAATCTGAATGAAAATCTGGAAAGAAAAGCAAGTGGCTCTATTAGAAACTCTAGCCAGGACAGTTATTTCTACTGGCCAAGGCTCCCCCTGTCAGCCTTCTCTCAATAAGAGTTGTGCACCGTGTCTGGTTTGGAGCCTGCTATTTATATCAGCTACAGTACCAACAAAGGAGAATATTTGTAGCTCAGGGTTGAAACGAGGGGCCCTTGGTGCTCTCTGAGCTTGTTTTTTTACAGACGTTTCATTATCCAAACTAGGTAATATCATCAATGCTAGTAAGGAGTGGTGTTTGCTCTCTGTTTCTATTCTAGTGGCTTGTCCTGTCAGTGTTGGTGGGGGTGGTCTTGGATATCATTTGGTTGGGCTGTTTACTGTTGGCTTGTTTGGCAGTTCCCTGATTGGGGTATCGTTTACTTGATTGTTGGTCTGATTATTAATCTTGGAGTTAATCTATGGTCACCTGGGTGCAGATTGCTGGTGGGGAGGTGTTTGGGTCTTTTTGTTCCCTTTTTGGCTCGTTGATTGTCTCTTTTGCATAGTATGCAGATATTGTTTATGCCTATTGATGGCCAATTTGTCAGGGTGCCAGGCTTCTAGAAGTTCCCTAGTGTTTGTGGGTTTGGTTTAGGATGGTCGCAGCTTCCCAACTGAAACTATGGTTCAGTCTGACCGTAGTTACAGTACCTCCTGTCAGAAATCGGATTGAAGAGTTCATCTAGCTACAAACATCCATTAATAGTGTCACATCCTCAAAGCAATAGAGTTTGCTATTGTACAATTTTAATCTTTCAAGTTAGATGATTGTTAAAACCTTGACACTGCAAATGAAAATTCGATGCCCCAAAGCCAGAAACATAGGCTGTTGTCAGGTGAGACCTATGGTTGTTTAAGCAAAAAATAATAAAGAACTAGAAACAGAAGCTAGGAAGTCTAGGAAAATACAGTGAGCCAAGCATTAGCAGAATTGTTAACAATATTCAGATTACAGAGGGTGAGAACAAAGGAGATTCTGCTCCCCTTCTGTAACTTTTTAATTGCAGATGAGGGAAGGCTGCATCATTCAAGTGAAACTGGGGAAGAAAGTCAAGGGCTAGGCGCAGGGGTAGGCAACCTTGGCTCTTTTATGACTCGTGGACTTCAACTCCCAGAATTCCTGAGCCAGCATGGCTGGCTCAGGAATTCTGGGAGTTGAAGTCCACGAGTCATAAAAGAGCCAAGGTTGCCTACCCCTGGGCTAGGGACTTCCCACATGTCACTTAAGGTCTCTTTTCCTTAGAAATAAAGCATCACCATGACAAATACATAGATAGGATTTTGAGGCCATTCAGATGATGCTCAAGATAGCATTGTTGCCCAAAATTGTCATCCAAGATTGAAGCACTTAATGGAATGTACAAATATTTTTTTTTAAAAAAGGAAAAGATGTATGGTATGATTTTTTCCAATCTCTGGACACAGAATTTCAGTTTTGAAATCAAAAGAGTATCACTTGAACCAGTTCTGAAAATGAAATTGCTTCCAAAAAATCCTCCCCACATACCTGTTTAGTTATCTTTACCATAGGCTTTCCAGCTAGATAGCAGGCCCTAAGGAAAGCTGAACCTGGTTAGTACTCAGAAGAGAGCCTACCAGAAAATAGCAAAACTAGAGGCTAGACTAGGAAGTTAAAAAAAAAACAGCCAGAAAATATCCATGGTAAACCATAGGAAAACAGCATGGACTTATTCATGAGGTCATCAGGAATTGACCTTGATTTGAAGAAGATTATTTTTAGCAAACACGAGAGGGAAAGGGGAAAAATAAAATGATTTACCTCATGGGGAGCTCCTTTGAAGACACTTGCAGACTGATAGATAGTTTCTGTCCACAATTTTATATCTTCATTTTCCAGTTCTTCTGCTGTCCGGTACAAAGATTTGGGAACCAGCCCACCTTCTGGAACTTCGCACTAAATAAATTTAATTGAAGAGTGGAGGGAAAAGAGTCAGCAAAATGGATCTGTTTCTGCTCCAACTGAAAACATCTCAGGAAGAATATTCCACAATCAATTTGAAATAGTGAAAAGCTGTAAACAGATTAATGAGTTAAAACAACTCTCTGTGACTGGAAACATTTTCTCACTGTAGCTTCTATCTGCCCTCACAACACACTTCTCAAGCAGGTACTGATGGGGCACAGCCTGAGGGTCAATCGGCCTGAAACCCTGGATTCGGCCTGACTTCACTGTAAGACAGGCTAAATTCAAAAACTAGCTCTTCAGCCACAAAAGAACATCATATACTGTATATATGGTGTCACATACAAATGAATACATTGGCAGGATTTGAGTTTATTATTATCAATGGTTTATATTTCAGCATATGTCCTAAAGATGTTACCTAAATGACATGGTTCTATCATGGGGTCTGGGGGAGCCAGCAAGATGCCTGTATTATCTGTGAGTGGTAGTTACCACTCTCCTATGCTTTTACGTTTTTGATTTATTTTGTTTATTTTTTATTTCTGTACACAAGTTTGTTTTTTGCTGTTTTAACTTGAGAACTGCCTAGAACAGGGGTAGGCAACCTTGGCTCTTTTATGACTCGTGGACTTCAACTCCCAGAATTCCTGAGCCAGCTAAGCTAAGCTGGCTCAGGAATTCTGGGAGTTGAAGTCCACGAGTCATAAAAGAGCCAAGGTTGCCTACCCCTGGCCTAGAATCATGTAAATAAGATGGAGACTATATTATTTTTAAAACAAAGCAAAACATTTTATTGAAGCTCTGACTATGAGGTTTCGAGGTTGGGCAGACAAGGCAACAACACACTCTGTAAGTAGCCATCCTGAAGTGGTCTCTCAGAGTAAGCAGCTCCAGGATAACTTGAAGCCTCTTCTAGAAAGCACCTCAGAGAAGCAAGTGGCACGGAAAAGCATGTTTCACACCACACAACTGTTCCAACTACCTTGCCAACAACTGAGAGAGACCAGCAGCCCAGAAAACTTATTGTTGGCCCTCCCTGATTCCTAGCACCTAGCTGACAGAGGAATGTGCTACACAGTAATGCCGTTTTCTCATGCTGCTTTCCTTATCCCAATTTCTGGATTTATTGAAGGGACTAGTGGCACAAAAGGATGAATCTTGCTGGAGGCCAAGAAAGCCTTTGGGAGTGCTCTGGAAAAACAGAGAAGAGCCTTCTCCATATGAAGTCCCTTGGGGTTAATTAACTCGAGCAAATGCTGTGAGACTACAATATGTGCTAAAGGGCGCCAACCGGAGGTGTGTGCCAAAGGACTTTTAGGCTGGGTGGCTTCAACAAAGCCTTTAAGAAATCCCAAAGCAGCCCAGCCTAAAAATACTTGACTTCATTTGAGTCCAAAGGGATTCAAAACCACCCAAACTGCTTTGCTAAACTGAACTGGATGGCCACTTCAGCAAATTATGTCACCTATACAACTGAAATGGCTTCTTTCTGCACAGGCTAAATAGACTGGGCACTGGATTACAGTAGCACAGAGTGAATTATTACAGGTCACTGAACTTGGTTTGTCAAACAAACTGAAAGCAATTCTCCCTTTTTCTACCTACCATACATTCTCCGCCAAGAAAATCGGGAATAATTTCTTTGTCAATGTAATCCAACAGTCCACCAGGACCCTGGTAATCATTGCCAGCATAAATCAGGAATTTCTTTCGAGTGTTGTCATCAATGAAAGGGCTAACCTACAAACAAAATACTAAAGTAGTAACATTCCCAAGACATCAGATGAACTCAAGAGAAACACATTATTTCACAGGGCCACTGAAGTCTATGCTCTAGCTCACAGGTGTCAAATTCACTGCGTCACGTGACGTGTCACGACGTATCACGCCTTTTTTTGCATTGCCAGAGCTGGGGTGGGCACGGCCTCCATATGATGCAACTGGCCCACGGGCCGGCAGTTTGACACCCCTGCTCTAGCTGGATTTCTAAGCTGGATTTCTAAATATCAAGCTTGCCAATGTTGCCTATTCCAAAGTACACACTGACTCCAATTTACAAAACACAAATTCCCAAACAGAGAACCAACTTAAGGACCTACCAGTGTCCAAAGGACTGGAAACACTCTGGGGGCTCGGAGAATTAGAAGACGTCCGAGCGTTTCTGGATAATTGGCTTCTACCACCTCAATGATTCTCAGCAAGGCCTTGACCCCAGGTCTCCATAAGTGACGCATGTTCAAGCCTTCCAGATCCACCAAGCAAGTCCAAGAGCTGGTTTTCCCCAAAATAAAAAATATTCAGCATGTTCAGTTTAAATCAATCAAGCAATTATTTGATTGTGACAGTATACAAATATACTCTGCTACATTAGATGTTTTTACTCATCACTTAAATTCCGATAGGTCAAAAAGTTTTAAATCATAACCATAATACTTGTGAAATATTTGTTAATGAGAGAAAGAGAATAAATTTACTCTCCCCTCTTTCAAATCCAGATGCTTATAATTCTTTCAATCTCCTTCCAACTCTTTCAATTTTTGTGTTTAATTGTATTGCTCACTCATGAAGAGCAAGCACTCCCAATTTCACTGATCCTCCTTTTCAGCCTTTCCTTGGCCTACCATGTTTTTATTGTTTACATCCCATCCCATTTTTTTCATCCATCGTGATTTTAAAATGTTGTGTATGGAATTCCCAAATAGTCTTCTATTCAGACTGATTCAATATACGAGGGCAATTTAGAAATAAACCTCCGTTTTATCAATGACAGACACTCGCAGATACAGAACTTTTATTAGACACATTAGAAAACTTCAACATTACATTACTTTTTGACATACCGTATTTATTGGCGTATAACACGCACTTTTTCCCCCTGAAAATAGGGGGCAAATGATGTGTGCGTGTTATACGCCGATATAAGCGCTCCGCCGCCCGGCCCCACCTTTAAGTTTTTTTCCTGAAATTTCCCTCTTAAAATGAAGGTGCGTGTTATACGCCTGTGCGTGTTATACGCCAATAAATACGGTAATCGCCCTTCAAATTGAGGCACTTGTCATAACGTCTTACAAGGTTTGAAATTCCTTAGTAATAGTCACTTGGCGCCAAATCTGGGCTATAGGGGGTGGTGACCAAAAACATCCCAACGGAACTGCTTCAGAAGTTCTTAGGTGCATCTAGCGGTGTGCAGGCGAGCATTATCGTGAACCAACACCACACCGCAAGTCAGCATGCCCCACGCTTGTTATGGATGGCTCATCTGAGTTTTCGTAACATTTCACAGTAGACTTCTGAACTGATGGTTGAAGAACGCTCCATAACTTCACTAGCAGTACTCCTTTGGCATCTTCACATTTAGCGGGATTTTCTGTGGCACGTCTGGTGTAGTGTTGGGTCACAATAATGCTCGCCCACACACTGCTAGACACACCCAAGAACTTTTCAAGCAGTTCTGTTGGGATGTTTTTGATCACCCCCCATAGCCCAGATTCGGCGTCGAGCGACTACTACTAAGGAATTTCAATCCTTGTAAGATATTATGACAAGTGCCTCAATTTGAATGGTGATTATGTCGAAAAGTAATGTAATGTAGTTTTCAAATGTGTATAAAAGTTCTGTATCTGCGAGTGTCTGTCATTGATAACCAAACGGAGGTTTATTTCCAAATTGCCCTCATAATTAGCTGAGCTACACCAGAGGGTAGCTCTATCTATTTTCATACTGCTCTTGGGTCTACCATCACTTCCCATTGCCGTCTTTACTTATCTGGATCTACTCTTAGCTCTTACACTGGAGTATCTGATACTGCTGTTTAATGACTAAACTTTAGCAGAGTGGGTGGGATGCCAGAATCCTACAAAATCAAGTCTGCCTATGTGTGTGCAATATTGCATAAATGACCACTGGAATTGTGCTAAAGTGTTCCATTTCTTAACCTAGGAATTGGTCAAAACACTACACAGCAAAACTTTATCTCAAGTAGCACAAACGTATCTAAAGTTCAGTGAAACAGATTCATGGAATTTTAAGAAAGTTTCCTTACCTAATAGGCCTTCCAAATACTTTTGTATTTTCTTTACACCTCCTCAGTCCTTCTTCATTTATAGATAGAACCTGCACGTAATAAAAAAAAGATGAGAACGTTGTATTATGTCGTTGTAAAATGACCATGGATAAAATTTCAGCCACAGAGTTACTTTGGGTTCAATTTTATTTGATTTTTGTAAGAAATTAAAATAAAATAAAATAAAATAAAAGTATCTGAACTATGAAATAACTTGAATATGCAGTTTTGAGGAATCAATATGTGCAGATATTTAAAAATGTAAAATACCTCTTACAATTTAAAAATGAATTGCATATACCAAAAGATATTATTTTATATTTATTGGGCCCTTCAAAGAATGTTTAAAAAGAAATTAATACGATTTATATTGATGACATAAGAAATGTGAAAGTTCATAGAATCTGCTCTTGTCCATCTACAGCTTTGTTTGAATTTCAAATCACTACATACGTTAATACAACTTGGGGAAGAAATATTACAGCCAAAGATCTCAGTGTAATGTTGACCTATTTTCCTAAAACGTGGAATTTGTTATCTCATTGAGATGTTGGCACTTTGGAGGCTGGATCATGAAAAAGTGGTAATTTTATGGAACTGGAAAAACCATTTCTCTCTTACTTGCCTTCAGAGGCAGGAAGGCTGTTCTGATATCTGAGCATTAACACCTTATTCTCCTACTCAGAAGTGAGCAATCTATAACAGCCTCAGCTTAGCTGGCCAATAGTAAGAGATGCAATATCTCAAGAGCAAAAAGCTGTCCATATGTTTATTCTTGCACAAAAGACAGAAAAACCACACTGCTAATTCTAATAATACGATATCAAAATGAATAGATTGTCAATGACATTCCTAGAGTGTTCATCACTGTAATGTAACCTTTTCCAACTGAGAATACCCTGAAGATATTTTGGACATGATTTACTAGGAACATCCAGTTATGCTAACGGATACGAGATAATGAAATGGGGACGTAACATTCCCACTAAAAACCATCTGCAAATTGTATCTGAGGCACTTACATAGCGAAGCAGGGCTTCTTCTCCAAGAGCTCGCACCAAACCTTTGGTATCCATCTGGCCTAGTCTCAACACATACAGTGGACGCCCATCTGAACCAAAAGAATAATAACGGTGATATTCAAATTATCTTCTGATAAAGCAAGAAATGGTTAGAAGGCCTTCTGTATTCGTCTCCAAAGCAAACTGGAATGATCAATACTTGCTTATTAACTTAGTTTCCAACAAGAGTTTTGGCTGCATAAATAAAGATGATGCATAAATAAAGATGATAAAGATTTAACAGTCATTAAACAAACGGTCAGTGACTTTTGACTGCTTGTTTAATGGCTATTCAAAGTTATGAGGGCCTCAGAAAGGGTGCTTTACAGCCTATACAGTACTTCCAGTGACTGTAAAATGCCACACCGCCCCCAGGTCCCATGACCTCATTTTGGATGCTTGGCAATTAGCTTGCATTTACAACTGGTTACCAAGCAACCCGTGATCACGTGATCGCCATTTGCAATCTTTTCTGCCAGCTTCTCTGCCAGAAAGCCAATTCTGGTCATAAGTAGAGGGTTACCTATATAGGAACTGCTGGCTTGGAAACATGCTTAATATTATTTTCCTGTTTTATTATATTATTTCAATTTCTGTGGCTGCCCACTCATGCATCACTCGTCAACTTTATTGTATTATTACAAGAGTTATAAGCAGAAGAGGCAATGGGAATAAAAAAACCCCTATTATGATAAACAGAATGTTTTCCCCAGATCAGGGGTAGGCAACCTTGGCTCTTTTATGACTCATGGACTTCAACTCCCAGAATTCCTGAGCCAGCTAAGCTGGCTCAGGAATTCTGGGAGTTGAAGTCCACCAGTCATAAAAGAGCCAAGGTTGCCTATCCCTGCCCTAGATGAATAGGACAACCATGAGTTAAGGACATACTGAGAAGTTATCAATGAAAGTTAGAAGACACTGGTCTGACTCTAGTGACTCTACAGTCATATTGTGACACCTTCCCAATGGGTATTTCTTTTTGTTAGAATTTGAGATCACTACATTCCAAAATAATTTTGGGTGGCTTAACATTTTAAAACTATACTATGTAATATAAAGGGGAAAAAATAGTGCCCAAACAAAGCCACACAAATAATAACTCCCCAAATCACCAGGGACTCCCTAACCCAAGGCCTGGGAACAGAGGGAGGTTTTCAGAGACTTCTGGAAGGGCAGTATTGGGATCCCAAGATGCTTTTTTCCAAAAGGCAACTGGATTTTGTTTTTCCTTGAAGATGTTTCGCTTCTCATCCATGAAGCTTTTCAGTGGGCTGCAGAACTGAAAAAGCTTCTTGGATGAGAAGCAAAACGTCTTCAAGGAAAAATAAAGTCCAGTTACCTTTTGAAAACAGCACCTTTTGGACAACCATGACCTGGATGACTGAGAATCTCCATTGACATAGTATGGGGATGCGGTTCCAAAGATATGCTTCTCTGCTCCCAGGAGATGGCAATTAAATAAAGGAACCTGGAGCGCACCCACTCTGCCTGATCATAGTGAATGGGCAGAAACTATTGGGAACATGCAGTCCCTCAAATAACCAGGCCCTATGCCCAGAAAGGCTATAGAAGTGATGACCAGCAACTTGAATTACACCCAGAAGTCAACTGGCAACTAATACAGCTTGTAAAACGGTGATGATACATGGGAGTAACATGAGACACCCACTACAGCCTATGCTCCTGAATTTTGGATCAGCTTTGAACGGTCTTCCAAAGGTACAACTTGATTTGATCCCATGGCAGTATTTTGGCCAGCCACTGCTATATGCTGCGTTCATCAAACTCCCAAACTGTGCAAGATTGAAAACCGAGCGGGAAATCTGAAGTTGCAGATTGTTGATGTATTTTTTTATATTGTGTTTTATATTGCTGCCACTTAAGAGTTGGCAACAACTGTAATCGCTTACATGCCAAATAAATAATGAAGCCAAGTCTTCTCACTCTAATAGGATGCCTTCCACTATATCAAGATACCTATATCTTTATATCTTACCTTTTACTCCAACAAAGTATAATAAACTTTGACAATCAGTTTTAAGTACTCTCTTTAGCAAACCATACTGGCAGCATTTCAGAAGACCTAAGGCAGGGGTAGGCAACCTCGGCTCCTGCTGACTCAGGAATTCTGGGAGTTGAAGTCCATGAGTCATAAAAAAGCCGAGGTTGCCCACCCCTGACCTAAGGCTTCCCCTTATAAAAACATCTGTGTCGCTGTTACCTTTGTCATGATGGTGCCAACCACCTGCATAATAATCCTGCAATACTTGAGGAGGGTTCCATGTATCCAGGATGTAGTCCACCTGATGCTGTTTGCGCCACGTTAACGACTGGCACAGGATTTCTCTGGCCTTATCAATGTTGAAATCTCTGGCACGCAAGAACCTTAAGATGTGCTCATCTTTGGGGATCTATAAATGTATAGTAATCACTGGATAAGAACTGTTGAAAATATATAATACTCCATAAGAAAATTTCAAGAAGTAAGCTAGTCCCTTTCTGTGCTTAAGCACCATCCTTTCTCCATTAGAAAGCTGCCATTTCTTTCTTTCATTAATAGTACAAAAATAGTACAATCGGACAAGAAATTTAAAAGAATATTTGAAGAACGCCTAAAAGATTTCATGAAAAATAACAGAAGTAAACTGGGATATTAGAGCTGTATATATTTTGATAAATTTATTCTTTTCAGAAGTCTGAGCTGGGTACTCGTTTATAGAGTAATTTATTGTTTATACAGTAACTTCTAATTGTCTTAAATAAATTCTTGGCTGCAACTTTCCAATGTTAAGCAACGAGATATTAAAAGCTCCTTGCCTTTTTTGCTGCTAGTTAACAGAAATTGTAAGTGGCATAAATAGAATGAAATAGATAATTAAATATAACTATCAAATCAAAATCTTTATTACTGTCATTGACCAGCACAAAGTAACAACTATCTAACATATCAGCTCTGCAAAACTTAGTTAAAAATAAAAAATTACTCGTATACAAAACTAAGAATTCACTAAAATACTTGAATCTATATAAAACTTATAAAACAGAATTTAATTCAAATTAAGACTACCTGCAATGTAATATTTATTTATTTATTTATTATTTTTACAAAAATATGCCACACACCTTCCTCCTCTTATTTTCCCCACAGAGCTGGCTTTCATGGCTAAGGCGGGACTTGAACTCATGGTCTCCTGCTTTTCAGCCTGGTGCCCTAACCATGATGTTTTAATCAATGCCTATATATTTTAGTAATAATACGGTAAGCTTCTATCCTATAACTTAAATAATTCTTCGATAAAACATGGCAATGAAGACTGAAAACCTAAATAACTGGAGTTAATAAATGATAATGTAAATATGGCATAATTTTTGTTCAGTCTAACTAGCCTTTTTTAATAGTTCCCCAGTGGCTCTCTTTCCCCTCTCCCTTTAACAGGTACCACATACTGCTGCTTTTGAATTCAACCACAGCACTGACAGGATTGAGAAGTTATGGGGGCAAGGGTGGGCAGAGCCATTCAAATTGCAATGCTTAAATTTATAGTGTTAGCAGCCCCTCCCTATCTTATCTAAGTCTCTGCCAATAATGTCTTATTCCTGCCCCACACCACATGCTGAAAAAAAATGCACGTTTTGGTCTCGCACAAACAATTAAAAACTGATCCATAGACAAAACAGTTCACGAGCAGAATGTTTTGTATATTCTTATTTAGGAAAAAGATAGAACTCCAAAGACAAAAAGGATGCCTTATAGCAGAATGGAGAAGTTGGACAGGAAATATAAGAACACAGTCCAGGAAATTTTCAACCACAGTACTAGAAGATCATAAAAACATCACGAGGAGGAAGTCTTGGGGGAGGGAGAATCACCCAATTCTGAAATAGATTTAGGAATCTAAATTCTGCACTATGGGAAACTAAAGATTAGAATTTTCTAATTTATAAATAAATACATAAATAATTTGGCACTTTTGTTTTTCTTCCTTTGGACACTGACATTCTGCCAGACATTCTTGTACACCACGCACTTTTCTAATGGACAGGAAGCAAAAGAGAGACACATCCTCTTACTTTGCCTTTGTGTGTTTCCTGGAGCCACTGCCGAAGCCTGATGAGGCAGCTTTCCTGAAGTGGAGTCAAGTCGCCCAGATACCTCTTGATATAATCTGCATCTAATTTGTCTGAAAAAATAGAATTGTTTTCATTGCCCATACTTCCAGTGCAAACCCTCATTTGAAATCGTCAATTATTTACATAAATTAGCCACTAGTACTTTTGATATTTCCATCAGTTCTGTAGATCTTTGTAACCTCCATGCTACTAACTGCCTTCAACATCTATCATCTGAATCCCCAGTTGATTAAAAAACAACAACTGTGTATCTACTTGATATTCTTGAAAAGAGATAAAACTGTACAACTGCCCGCCTGCATTTTTTTGAATAAATTAATTAATTTGATTCTTTCCTTGTATCCTTAAAATCCAGCTGAGATTATGATGGCATTCATAAAATGGTTATAAACGAGGACAGGACAAACTACACACCATCAGGTGTTCCAGCCGCCAGTTCTGATGCATTGTTGCATGTGTTGATTTCCTTGGTGTTCAGTCCCTCTTTAACGACAGTTTCTGGTATGCTGATTGGAGGGGACAGTGACCGTCTAAAGTGAGCTGTGCCGTGTTCGAATGCAAATTTAGCAGGAGGAGTCCAACGAGGAATAAATGCTACACCTTCTTCTTCTAGTTGCTTCAAGTAGTACTCTATTATCTCTTTGCCCTTTCAAAACAAGACAATTCTTACATCAATACATTGTAGATGTACATGGTTGGTGTGTGTGTGTGTGTGGAGAACTCACGTAATTAGTTCCTGATTGAAGAAAACTAAGTCTGCTGGAATAGCAGGAACCTAGTGTTATGCCATATACTTCAGCATTACAAACCCTCAAATAGAAACTCAAGAAGAGAAGAACAAATATATTCCCATGAGTTTCAATACAAAAAGAAAAAAAAGAGAGAAAGAAATGAAAAATATGTCTTCTGGATCTTTTTGTTCAAAAACAGACATAGCTGTCTTTTGAATCGTGAAGATCATTCCAGGTCATGGGTAACCTCATTCCTTCTAAATATAAATTGTAAAGTAGACTATTTTTAGTGACTCAGTGCTGAAAGGCCAACTTCTTCTAAACTGGTTTATTCTTCAGCAGAACATGATCCCCAATATGTCTGTATTCATTCATTCATTCATTCATTCATTCCTGTTATTGGACAATAATCTCTGTAAGATTAAAAGGTGAGAACTGATGATATTCTGGATGACCAGAGCCCGCCATACTCAGGCCCTCCTCTTGCCAATATAATAGGGTAGAACATGCCTCTAATAGAAGATGAGAGTAAACACAGAGTATGAAGTCATACAAGATCAATAAGATCCTTCTCAGGAGCTGAAAATTGTTCCCAGCCTTCAGGAAACAGCAACATTATTTGCGTATAAAACTTAAAAAGATTACCTTTTTAATATTGCTGGTGTATTGCTTCATAGCAATCTTTTCTACTGTGCTTTCAAAGCCAAAGAAAGATTTAATATCAAGACTTGCAGACTGCTCAAAACATGTCCAGTCTTCATTGTCTGGGTGCACCTGGAGATTTAAGAAATACAAATCTAGGTGTAAGAAAATCTTAATCCAGTAGCACAAAGACAATTATTTCTTAAGCATTTTCCTTTTCTTCACTTACAACTTTTTTCTCACCAACGTAACAGAATGCCCAATATGCCCAATATTTGTGTTCCTACAGAATTATTTTACATGTTGTTTGAAAAATATTATCTTCTTAAATCTTAAAAACTGTGCAGCCAATAATTTCTTTGAATGGAATAAAATCTGAGAAAAACCACAAAGCAAATATAAAATCTGCATTAATTCAAGACTTGTGAATTAGATTTTCCTCAGATCAGAATTGCCAACAAAAATGACAAACTCTGAGTATCACAGAACAATTTACATCACAAATTGTCTTAAAGTGATCAGAAAAATCTGTCGGGTATATTCTTCTTGCTCCTAAACTCTCCTCAGGAGCTACGTTCTCGTCACTACGCTTTCAGAAAAGTAAGCAAGAACATCTCTTCAAATAAGCCTTTAAAGTCAAATCAATAATAACGTTATATGGGTTAGCTGTGCTTTTAATTGAAAACAGAACCATAAATAATTGAAACCATAAATAACAAAGAAAGCTTAATTAGAAATGGCCAGACAGACGTTCTTAGAAAGACCATAACATAAAATTGAAGCTTTCCCTTACTCACCGTATATGAGCATTTTTCATTAATGACAACTCTGTTGGAGAAAGTTTCATTGTGGGCCTCTATGTGTAAAGTGCGGTCTCTTCTATTCAAGGAGTTCTTTTGGATAAAGTAAACATAATCTACCCCTGCAATCTGAGAAGGAGAACAGAGATGAATTTAAGAAGCAGCCCCATATACAGGTGAAACTCGAAAAATTAGAATATTGTGCAAAAGTTCATTTATTTCAGTAATGCAACTTAAAAGGTGAACCTAATATATGAGATAGACTCATTACATGCAAAGCAAGATAGTTCAAGCCGTGATGTGTCATAAGTGAGATGATTATGGCTTACAGCTCATGAAAACCCCAAATCCACAATCTCAGAAAATTAGAATATTGTGAAAAAGTTCAATATTCTAGGCTCAAAGTGTCCCACTCTAATCAGCTAATTAAGCCATAACACCTGCAAAGGGTTCCTGAGCCTTTAAATGGTCTCTCAGTCTGGTTCAGTAGGAATCATAATCATGGGAAAGACTGCTGACCTGACAGTTGTGCAGAAAACCATCATTGACACCCTCCATAAGGAGGGAAAGCCTCAAAAGGTAATTGCAAAAGAAGTTGGATGCTCCCAAAGTGCTGTATCAAAGCACATTAATAGAAGGTTATGTGGAAGGGAAAAGTGTGGAAGAAAAAGGTGCACAAGCAGCAGGGATGACCGCAGCCTGGAGAGGATTGTCAGGAAAAGGCCATTCAAAAGTGTTGGGGACTTTCACAAGGAGTGGACTGAGGCTGGAGTCAGTGCATCAAGAGCCTCCACACACAGACGGATCCTGGACATGGACTTCAAATGTCATATTCCTCTTGTCAAGCCGCTCCTGAACAACAAACGTCAGAAGTGTCTTACCTGGGCTAAAGAAAAACAGAACTGGTCTGTTGCTCAGTGGTCCAAAGTTCTCTTTTCTGATGAGAGCAACTTTTGCATCTCATTTGGGAACCAAGGATCCAGAGTCTGGAGGAAGAATGGAGAGGCACACACTGCCAAAAGCACCAAAACCTGGTTCAATGACCGTGGGATTACTGTGCTTGATTGGCCAGCAAACTCGCCTGACCTTAACCCCATAGAGAAACTATGGGGCATTGCCAAGAGAAAGATAAGAGACATGAGACCGAACAATGCAGAAGAGCTGAAGGCCGCTATTGAAGCATCCTAGTCTTCCATAACACCTCAGCAGTGCCACAGGCTGATAGCTTCCATGCCACGCCACATTGAAGCAGTAATTGCTGCAAAAGGGGCCCAAACCAAGTACTGAGTACATATGCATGCTTATACTTTTCAGAGGTCCGATATTGTTCTATGTACAATCCTTGTTTTATTGATTGCATGTAATATTCTAATTTTCTGAGATTGTGGATTTGAGGTTTTCATGAGCTGTAAGTCATAATCATCTCACTTATGACACATCACGGCTTGAACTATCTTGCTTTGCATGTAATGAGTCTATCTCATATATTAGGTTCACCTTCTAAGTTGCATTACTGAAATAAATGAACTTTTGCACAATATTCTAATTTTTCGAGTTTCACCTGTAGACGGTTATTTGGGCAAAGAACCTGCCTAGGCGTATACCTTTTTCAGGAGCCGTGGAGCATCCACATCCAGTTTACAACGTCTTTCGGTCACATGGATTGCTCGGTCGTCACTCTTGAATTCACTCACAGTATCACTGCCTACAAACATGGGGATAAGAGGGCAAGTGGGAAACCTTTTCTCATATGCCTGTAAGAAAAGAAGAATATACACATCAACCTCTGTCACAAGGCTCTCAAGGCAGCATTTCACATACTTGCTAATCACAGATGTCCTCTTCATTTTAATAAATAAAGGCTAAATTATGTTAAATACTAAAACGCTGTCTTGTATTTCTCACATATCTAATACGAGCAGTGAGTGGCACAGGAGAAGCATCTTTAGGCGATTGTCTCCAGTTTTCCAAAGTACTTCCTCTAAGCCTAATAAAGACATTGAAAGCTTATTCCTGCCATACTGGTTGTCCCCAAGCATACCTATACAAATTCTTCTCAGAACTGGGACAACCAATTCCCAGCCTGTATTCATGACTAAGTACATGCAGGTAGTCCTCGACTTATGATGGCAACTGGGATCTAAGCGACAGCAATCCCTGCAGTCCCGGTTGCCATCATTAATATGGTTATTAGGTAAGACAGCTTCCTGCAGTCAAAGTTACTGGGGAAGCTGATAAAAGTTGCAAGTCCCAGGCTGGCAGGCAGGTAAGTGGCTGCTGCCAGAAGGGCGTGAGGCATGGTGCAGGAAAGGTGTATGAGGGTGGTGAGATACGGGTTGGATGCAAAAGGTTGTGTGAGAGGTCTAACACAAGTTGGGGAGGGTGCACAAGAAGGTTTGTGAGGGCATATTCATTCACAAACCAAATTCTTGCATCAGATCAAATTCTTGTATCAGGTCATTGTGTTTATCTATCCCCACACATTTGCACTGAAACAACCCATTCAGATGATCTGTTTGTGCATGTGTTTTGCGCATTTATTAATTGTATCATGCTTTTAACATCTTAGAATTTCTGCTATTATATCCTGATTTTTATTTATTATAGGGGCATACATTTGGGTTGTTAATATTGACATGGCACGCTGCTAATTGTAAGATGATGATACAATCCAGTTTCAGAATAAACTTTTATTCCAGCATAATATATATTACTACTTTCAGAAAAAAAGATTTCAATTTATTCTATCAAGTTATCCAGATATTTTCCAACACATTCACTTATGACTAGGATATGAATTTGCAATCTCTCCACCTCTCAGGGGGCATTCAGGAGCTTTTCTGCTGTGAATAAAATTGTAAGATTCCTGGCAAATCTTCACATCCCCTGACAACCTAAGTCTGCCAGGGGCTCAGTTTTTAAATGCCTTCTGAAGTTATTCCTACATTATACGAAAATTATCAAGTTAATGCTCTTCTCTTCTGACAGAAACCTGGACATTAATAAAAGTAGATTATTTCCTTTTCTGCCTCTAACAATTTTAGTTTCAGTGTGAAGGAACATAGTCCTTTACCTTGAATGTAGATTTAACACCTAAGACATAAATATGAATTCTAAGAATCCATTCAGGCAAAATAGTGAATCAAACTTTGGAAATCCACCTCTAGTGGTAAAGATTAGAAACATATCTCCAAGGTATGAATAGTGGTATGTGGTTTTATAATTCAAAATAAATTGGAAGTAGCCTTTTTTGCTAATAGCTTAGAAATTATAGGGAAACTGAGAAGTAAATTCACAAACATCTGACCCATGAAAGAAGCTCTAGCTGTCTAGCTTTTCTGCTTAACTGCCTTTCACTATTATAATAACTGAGAATCTTGAAAATTCCTCCCCTCTCCCCAAAATACACACACTGCACAGGAAACAATAACTAATGCAAAAGTTCATATCAGATTCAAAATCTGTCCCACCTAGTGCATCTTTTGCTTTTGGTGGTTTTTGATACTATCAACCATGGCAGCCTTTTGAGCTGCCTTAGGGAGGTGGGGGCATTATCTAAATTTGACAAATAAATAAAATCGCCCACATTTGAAGGAGTCAGCTTGCTTAACACCAAATTCTGCAAGGTAGGTCTATTATAGGTAGCTCTAACCTGCATTGTTATTAAGCCTTTAAAAATGTAGTGTGCTAATAAACTGTGCAACTAGCTATGTTTAGAATGCTTTCATGAAGGAGATGACTAGGCAGGTACTTTTAATTTAATTTTAAAATGCTCAGCACGTATGCATCTTCAACAGAGCTGCATGAAGCCAACTGCAGTGGCATTTTATTTTCCAAGAACAGTTTTTGGCATTATGTGTATGACAAAGTCTGACATCAGCTGCAACTGAACAAAGCCTTCAGATATTATTTCCCACATACCAGCTTAAAAATCTTAACTCAAACCGTAAGTATGTAGTTGCTTAGCAACTACAAGATTTGCAATAGGCTATTTTTTCCACCAGAACTTAAGCATTCAATCCGTTTCCTTCTTTCATCATTTTATGATATTATTTGCATTAATTTTAAAGATTGTATATACAAATTCTAGTGATATCTCCAAAGCGAGCCTGAATGATGTATTAAAAGGATAAGTGATTATCCATCAAACAGCCATAGCATTCTAAACAGTGTGCTAACAGCCAAAGCAGTGCTAATGTCAGCATGAGAGGAATATCTCAAAAATCAATTTTGTAAACTCAGTGCTATATTGGGAAATTTTAAGGAGATCAAGAAGGTAGTGCTAATGGCGCTCTATTCCTTTATGCTGGTGGTATAACTTTCTAAAAATACTACAGGATGTGAAAGCCACCTGCTCCCTCCTCCTTTAAAACAGATGTCTGCCAAGAAACCACATGGGAGCTTAAACCCATATAAATATTGCTAAATGCCATTCACTGGAGAATACTGTCAATTATTTTTATTTGACAATATACATACTCCAAGACAATTAATGTATCAATATTGTACCTCTTGGGCACAGAAGGTTATATCCACTAATTATACATACCAGCTTAAAGTTACCAAGAATTTCCTGTGACAAATGAATAGCAGAAATGCTATAAAACACCCAGGGATATGGTTGTGCCATTTCCATATCGTATTCTATGAACCACAGTAATCACACTGGAAGTATACAAACATTACAGGCATATCGACATTATCAGAAGTATATCAACAGAGTTTGGCAATCTAAATTATAATGCTTTTTTTTTTTTTTTTAAAGTATACCTTCCTCCTTGACAACGTTTTTTCCTTCTAGGTTTGTTAAATTTCTCTGTTTCATAAATGGTCTATTCCACTATATGCAGAAATTAACTCTTTTGTGTCTTGAAGCATATTGACTATATCCACACTTGCCTCATTACAGTAATGTAGATCCCTCCACCTAATTATCTAACTCAGTGGTTCTCAACCTGCAATGTCGTCACAGGGGATCCATAAAGACTTGAAAAAATGTTATGATTTAAACCTTAAGTCTTGGGGGTCTGTGGTCATGGTCCGTGACCACAAAAAGTTTTTAAAAGGGGTCCGTGATAAAGAAAAGGTTGAGAACCACTGATCTAACTCATGCCTCCAATGTGAATAGAGCACCATTCATGATTCAGCAAAATAAAGGTCTCATCTTTATTACAACTACTACTTAGAAAAGCCAATCTTAAATAATCCTAGACATCTTTCCCCCCTCAATTTTTCTTCCTCAGAATTCAAATTATCAGTTAGTCCACTATTGTGTTACTGGTATGTTTTGCATCCAATATTGATTACAAATAACTTTGTTATTTTTAAGACAAGGTTTTCAGGTCTTGTTTCAAGAGCATATAAGTGTTATTTATTGTTGGCAACCACTTAAAACTTCTAGAAAATTTTGACTGTAGCTCCTAGTAGAAAAATGCATAATCATATAGCATACAATCTTGATGGCAGTGTGGCTAAGAACATTAAAAGTTAAATGGGACTTTTCTCATACAGCATCATCACTACAGGAGCCTTGTGCAGATGACTAAGTTATAAATGGCCAGTCCATAATGGCTTACAAAAATTTGTTATTAGAAAATATTCTTAAATAATTTTGGTGAAGTAGACCAATGTCTTGCTTAAGACATCAAGATATATGGCATTTCCTGTAAGAGGCTGGTAACAAAATTAACTAAAGCGATTCTTATAAAAATAAACCAAGGTTGAATAACTTCACATATATTTCCTTATAAGATAAATATCTTCTCATACTACCATTCTTTGAGTAACCCATCCCAAAAGCCTGGAAGTACTGTATTAACAAATGAATCTGAAGGAAGCCATTCACACTCAGTTCTACTCCTTAAAACAAAAAGGAACATTTTACAAAACATGAGAAATTTATTACTGAAATACAAATAGTACTCTAAATTAGACAATTTAATTTCAAGCCATGTCAGGCAAAACTATACAAGTAACAAAATAAAACATATTAAATGAACAATTCAAAATTCAGTCATGGGACTGAAGGAAGAAAATGTACTTGCAGAGCTAGATAAGTTCTTGAACTGAGTCCACCGTTGATGTCAGTCACATTTCCCATCACGTGGAGAAACACAATATGTTTTGGAAAAGAAACTAATTCCATCAGGAAGCTCATTACTTATTCTGCTATTGTGGTTCAAACATCTCTAAATGCTGGGACACTTATTCCCACCGTCTTGCAGGGACTCAGGAAATTTAAGAATATGGCAAACACAACCTTTTAATCACACATACTACATTATTACGAAAGCAAGAGCCTAATAACATCTCTGCCTGTTGTTGCAGTGAAATTACAATTTGCATTAAGAAGGGCCATTATGTTAAGACAGCTTGAACATTGCTGCCTTATTAATTCAACTGCTTACATAATCTGCTTACATTATATCTGAAAGTTCTAAGATTTTATCTGGATTCTCAAAACTCTCAATTGTTTCCTTATATGAAACATTTCTCCTTTTCATATTTGACATGGTGGTGAATATTTTCTAGCAGGAGGCAATCAAGCATGTTAATCCTATAATGGGTATGCCTCACCAATACTGTAACTCTTCTAAAAATGTTTTACCCACAGCTGCAGATGAAGGCATCTTTGTAACACAGCTGATATCCCATAAACTCATAATCCACCTAGTTAATTGCCTCTCCCATTATTTCCCAGGATATTATCATCCATTAATCAAAGAATGTAAATGTTACTACGTTTCCTACATTC